CTTAAATCAACCGTAGTGTAGGAATCCTGCCTTGGTTTTAAGGTGGTTCTCATCATTTAATTACCCTGTTCCACACTTAGAATTCTGTGGTGTGTTTTCTCTCTTCCTTAACCAGAGAAAATAAGATACTCTCTTCTAGTTTGTTTTTTACTAATGCTAAAGGATTTACATAAATGCACTCAGAGCTGAGCCAGTACCTTCATTAAAATTGATCATGCATACAAGCTTCAGTGTGAGTAAGATTGTGATGAAACACTCAAGCCTGTGGCAGTACCTCATTCTGGATGACACCCAGAGTTTACTGAATTCTAATAAATGGTATCAATATTTGAGAACAGTTTACTTACTGCATAAGATGCAAGAGCAAGTAGTGTTTGCTCCAGTTTCCAAATCATGCTGGCTAAAGTGGTTGCCTGAGTGGATAAAATACAACTCAGAAGGTTTATTACTGGACTGATTGTTACTGAGAAACTTAAAAAATTGGCACTGTCCTTTCTTCTTTATGTTATTCAAGTTGGTGCTCAAAGCGTGTGACCAAGATGGGTGAGGGTACCCAGTTATTCCATGTGCCTGAATTAGTTACTGGATGCTGTTAATTCATCTCCAGATTCAGTCACCACTGCTGCAAGTTCTTGGAGATATTATAAAACATGTGCTCTTCTCTTTCCTAGCCTGCTTGTTCCAAAAAAAACCTGCCAGTATGGAAGGTCATGAGATTGTTTCCAGTGAGGAGGAAGAGAAAAAGTCTCTTCTACCTTCTCTGGAAGAGGAAGGAAAAGAAGACAAAGCTGGTCAGCTCTCTACTGTGGAAGAACACCAGGAAGGTGAAAATGACTTATTTTTTGATAAACTAACATGAATGTGTCTTTTAATCTAGTAGATGGGAACAGTGCAGTTCTAGGGTTGAATGATGTTCCTGGTCGATGCAGTGGCTGCAGTGGGAGCTCTCTAGCATTGCACCACAGCTTGAACTAAACCAAATCTGAGCCTTTATTTCTGTAGCCCTAAACTCTCCACTTTTTACCTCTGTACGGTTCAGAGCTACTGATGGTAAATCTCATATTTGACTATGTGGACTTGATTCGGTTGCTCATACATCAGCAACTAGTGCCACTTGAGGTGCTCTAGGCTCTCTCATCTGCCTCCAGATGGCACAGGTCTATGCAGATCCAACTCTGTGAAGGTGTTGGATATGCTAAGACATCTAAACTGGCACCAGATACTTCTTAATAGGCAGCTGATTTGTCTAATTGCTTCCAGAAGTATGTCTCAGTACAGTGTGTGAGGCAGCCTGTCTACCACGTTGCACGTGATGTAAGGTGCAGTGCTGAATATTGATCTTTGTGTGAAGAGTTGCAGGCTGTTCTTCCCTTGTTGTTTTTCTGCTTGCACATGTGACTTGTTGGCAAGGATATAGCACTTTGTATTTGAAAGTTCAATGTTTTTCCCTTGTTGTTTTTCTGCTTGCACGTGTGACTTGATGGCAAGTATATAGCACTTTGTATTTGAAAGTTCAAAGTTTTTTATTAAACTGTTGTTTTAATATCTCTTAGAATACAAGCTTGAAGAAGAGTTGGCTGGTGCTGGCAAGATGGGAAACCAGGACCTATCTGAAGGAGATGAAAACAGATCTGATTCTAGCATGTAAATAACTTGTCATCAGTTCTAATAGTAAATGCCTTTATAATGTTAACTACCTCTTCAAGAGAAGGTTTGGTTAATTCAGCTGCATTTTGTTAAATTAGTCATAGGCAACATAAACTTCCACAAAGAAGAGTAAATTAGATTGGTTAGTACTGTTAAACCAAGGAGCTGAGTGAGCTCAGGTGTGTGAGTGGATGAGGTACAAACTCGGTGTCAGTTTTCAATTTCTTTTTACATTTTCATTGTTAATTGTGTTTCAATTCCAAGGGAAAGCTTGGACCCCTCTTTGGGCAACGATAACATTCAGGCTATGAAGTGTACAGATAGAATTTGCATTTTGACCTTACAGAGGAACCTAAAAGAGCTGAATGACCTAGCTAAAGAAAAGGAACGTGTGGTCCAAAGAACCAGGTTAGTGTTTAAGTGAACATAATCCATCAGCATAAAGCACCATCAAGTACTGAAATAGATGTTCAAGTTTATAGAGTTATTTTCATGCCAGTTATGTGAAGAAAACACTTGTATAATACAATGTATTCAATATATCCCCAGAGCCTTGTAAAGAATTGGGGATCAAGGATAAAAATTAGTTACATACTTGAAAAAATGAAATAGAAGAATGAATGCTAAAGCACAGGTGTTTGATCTGGGAGAATCAGGTGTGAACTCCTCTCAGGGATGTCTGCACAGTTCCTGCTGTTTCCCAAGGTTGGAAACATCAAGTGGAAAATCCATTGTGAATGTTTTCTCACCTGTGGTGGCAATGGTAGGTGAGAAGTGGTGAGGCTGCTCACGTGCGTTAAGGGAAGCACCTGCCATGAGTGTTTTGCTACGTTGAGGTCACAAAGATGTTCTCTAGCAGCAAGTAGATCTGAAGGCAGCTAATGTAAAAACATGCTGTTCATGCTGTTGTCATTTTTTGTAATATTTGAGCTAAGGTTGATGTCAGAATAAACTCCTGTTGCATTTTTCTGGAGAAAATATTTGAAATGAACAAGGGCTTCCAAAAGAGCCTCATAGTAAGGTCTTAAAAGAAAAAGTGGGATGGGGAAGGTGGGGAGTTGGGAGTGTTGAAGGAATCCTAGCTGTGAATCTTGCCCCCCAGAGGAAGAGTTTCATCAGAAAGTAAGGAACTTAGAAAATATAAATAATGTGTTTGCTTCTTGCAGAGACAAGCTGAGTACCTGTCAGCTGCGGATCGAGCTGCTGGCAAAGCAGCTGGCTGATGTAGACATGGAAATAGAGAAAGAGGAGGAGGCTGCCAACGTGTAGGTAGAGAGTGATGCTGAAGATAAGACACATCCACCACGTTTGTCTGTGTGTAATTAGTGACACAAACTTCCCTGCTGCCATCCCTTCACGTTGTTGAACAGTTGATAGAATTTTTAAGCAGGTATGCTGAAGGTGTTAATAGATGGGTGATGAAAGCCCTTGCTGCTGTCAGGTGGGGCTGCTGCTGCCAGAGCCTGCCAGGCTGCTCTGCCTGCAGGGCTGCCCTCCCAGGCAGGGAGCAGAGCCTGCCAGGCAGGGAGCAGAGCCCTGCCCTCCCTCCCAGGGGGGGGCACTGGTGCTGCAGTTGTGTTCTGCTTGGCCTCTTTTCAGCAATGGTGCCTCCTTTTGGCATAACACTAATGGCCTGTTGGCCTGGGAATCATTCATCTCTCTGATTTCTGGTCTAGAGGTAATATTCCGTGAGGCCAGTCAGTGCAGAAAGATGGAAACTTGGCAATGGATAGGAAGGAGACATATGTTTTAAAATATACCAACAATAGCTTATTAAATCAGTGTAGCCCACTGCTGTCAGTCACGTTGATCAGGGTCTCAATCACTGCAATCAGTATGATGAACCAACACCAATGTGCTTTGGCATGTGAGATGCCTGAGCGCCTTTCAGGAGTAGTTCTGCACTCTGGAGCTGTTCTGAAACACTTTTGCTGTAAAGTGGGAGGCAATTTACTGTACTCTTCACATTTGGTTTAAATAGAAAGAAGTGGGTGGCTTGTGTACCAGGAGCCAGGGTATTGTGAGCAAACTTTGCAGCTGCATTTTATGACCTCTGTTAATCTTCACGTTAGTCTATCAGTGAGTGATAGAATGATAAAGGTGGGTTAGGTGCTAAAATGGAATAGCTGCTCGAGCAGAAGTGAGGAGTGGATGCTAATGAGACTGCTGCTGTGGTGGGTGCTGGAACTCCCTGTTCAGGAGCTCCAGGAGACAGGCTTAGTAACAAAGCCCAACAGAGACAGAAAAGCATCGTATGAGTTCTCATCCTTGTGACAGATCCAATTGTGATATCTAGATATGCAGAAAAATAGCAATTCTCACAATCTGTTTAGCAAGTGAAGAGTGGAGTAGGGAGGCATGACAAAATGCTGGCTCCTGAAGCTCAAGGGCCCTGTGTTTTAACAATGATGAGCATACTGGCTGCTGTTGGCAGTACTGAGGCCCCATACAAACATTTTAAAGTCAAAGCAGGAAACGCAGGTAGACAGTCCAGTTCCAGTTTTCATTTTGGGGAAGGGAGTTTGTGTTAAAATTAGTCAGCTCACTGTCTGTCCTTTCTGTAGACTGCTGTCTGCTAGTTTCCCTGGGTAGAGAAGAGCCAGGAGCAGAAACATCTCTGTGGCAACACTGCCATTGTAGGAAAAGTACATGGAGTATTGGAATGCCATTCTAAAAGCTAAGTTAGTCTAGGTTTGCCCAGACTTAGTTTCATTAATACTACTACTTTTATCAGCCTGAGTAATGAATAGTCACATGAAGCTGCTGGTCAGTGTTTTTGGAATCAACACTCCTCTGCAGAAGACAAGCAATGCATAATGGCTTAAAGAAAGCTTGGACACTCAGCAGGCTCAATAAGGGACTCTGTAAATTGGTGGAATTGCAAGACATAAATCTCAACCTCAAAGCTACTTTTTATTATCACTAATCTTGTCGGGGAGGATTACTGCTTTTTATTTAACCTTTATTACTTCTAATTTCTTCCTGATTCTTTCTTTTGAATGTTGCCAGGGCAGCCTTGTCGTGCCTTCAGGCAAGGCACAGGCGACTGTGCACTGAACTGGAGCAGGAGAAGGACTTGGAGCTGAAAATTGATTTGACACTGAAAGAAAACATGTAAGTGAAGGAATGAGGATAAAGGTGTGATGGGAGTCTGTGTTTATTATGGTTTTCATATGCTGTTTAATGGATTCAGGAGTTAATCACTCCAGAAGCTGCTTGTAAGTCCTGAACTCCATCATTTGAGGTCATGAGAGGTTGGCTGCTCCTGAGAGCAACTTTTAGCCTGGCCAGCTAGTCACTTAGGAAATCAGTTGCTGTGCCTCAGCCCTGGTTTAGTTTTGCACACATAAATGAAGTTCTGGTTTTATCTGGAGCTGTGTGTAAACTGTGGACCTAAAGAGCTCTGTGATACTGATGTCTGAATGAGCATAAATATTCCTCATTCATGCCTTGTAGTGTTTTTTTTTATAGGGTATAAAGCAAAAGACTGAAACTGAGAATGGTGGAGAAGTTGTAGCAGTACTGTGTATTTTTATGCTATGCTAATATTGCTGCTTGTAATGGATTGTTCACACATAATTAGTTATCTGTATGAGACAGAATAAAACTCTTTTGCAGAAGGCAACAGGCAAGAGTGTTTGTATTTTGGCACCAGAAGTACAACTCCTGATGACACTATATCAGGGGAAGAATGCAAGCACAGGCTTATAGCTGTGATTAACCCAGTGGTTAACCAGAGTGCACTGTGTTCTGCTGCAGTGTGCTGTAACAGCTTTAGAATGCTTCACTCTTTTATTGTGTGGTTAGCAATAGCTATTTTAATCTGTTTATGGGTCTCTATTATGACTAAACTCCTTTAGCAAAGCACAGAAGAATAAAACCTATGGCCTCTCTCTGAATTATTTACTGTTGAAGAAAAAGCTATTTTCTGAATTTTCTTAGTTTTCATAATTTCTTCTGGTTAAGTGTGAATTTGAGAAACAGAACCTTGAGCTTTGTTTTACTTGGACCAATATTTCTGATGTCTTTAAAATGAGATATGCTATTAGATATGAGCCTTAGTCTGATAGGTGCAATACCTGTGTCAGTGTCATGGTGTGATTTACAATATAATTTTAAAAAATAAAACCAAACCATGGCTAGATTTTCACCATAGAGCCTTACCTACTAAACAGCCTTAAGTAAATGAAGGGTTGTCAGTATTTCAGTGCAGCCTACGCTTTGTTTTAAAGGCTTGAGCTGTGGAAGATAGAAACTGAGAAGGGAAAATATGAAAACCTCCATGAACAACTTAGAAAAGCTGAGGAGGAGCTGGAGTTGCAGTACCAAGAACGAGCAAAGGTGCGGATTGGGAAGGAAAAAAGAGCAGCACTGCAAGCAGCAGAAAACCTTCAGTCTAGGGAGAAGTAAGTGCCTGTAGGTCAGACTCTGCTTCCCTTTTCCATGTTATTTTCCCCCTGTTCACTGTTCCAGTTGTTGAGGAGATCACCTAATTCAAATACTTGTGGTATTGTGCTTGGTAGCTGGGTGTTGCTTCAAGAATATTTCCTGAGGAATTGGAAAAATAATTAAAATCATTGCCCACAGTCTTGCAGAGGTGCAGGTGAAGATTCCTGATCTGTGGAAATAAACTTGTTGAAGACAAAAGCTGAGTGTGCTTTGTCTGAGGAAATGAAGTTGATGGATCAGACTAACTGCATGTGTCTGCACAGCTGGCTATCAGGATCTTCTCAATTTATGACCAAGTTCACCAAGATTTCTTGGAGCAAAAGCAGATTCTGGTTTATCAGTTTGTCTATAGGTTTTTGTGGAAATGAGAGACTGTTTGGTGGGGGCAGGGGGTAGAGACTAACGTACTTCAGCATGTGGCAATAATGTCCCCAGCCTCACCCTTGGGTATCATGGTGTGGAATCAAGGTTTGCTGAATCCTGCTGTAACAGTTGGTCTGCCTATGTTTTTTAGAAAAGAGAAGGAAGCCCAGAAAGAATATGAAGAAAGACATAAAAAAATACTTGAAGATGCCAAAAGGAACCATGAAAAAGCAGCCTGCTTCCTGAGAAAAAGCCTAGCAAGGTTACTGCACACCCCTTGTCTGTTCTGTGGTGTACAATACTTCATCCCTGACACTTTGAAAAATAATCAATTTTCTGCTAGGTGTCTACAGTTCACCTGGAAATCTGCCATGGTAGCAGAGCTGTGAAGCATTTCACTCTTACATGGCACAAAAGGGCTTGGAAAGAAGAAACCCCACTTAGTCCTAGTGTGGTCTTCAGATTCCCTGTAGCTGAAGGGACTGTCCTTTTGATGAGCTGCAGAGGGGTCTGGCTTCTTGTAGGCATTAATGACTTGAAACATTTTATATCTGTGTGTACATCATTAACTGAAGTAGTCTGGAGTGATATAACTAAATTGCAGGTTTGAAACTTGTACTCTGCCATTCCACATTCTCTCTGAAATGTGGCAAAAACCATTTCTTGCTCTCTGGAGAAACTGGTTGACAGGCCATTTGTTTGTGCTTCTGCCTGCTCTTTTCTAGTTGGTGGTAAATGGAATGTTCTCTTCATAGGTTTGTGTTTATATAATGACTGTGGCCTTGAATTGTTTTGCTACTAAAGAAACAACATTTGTTACTTACTTTTGCTTGTATATTAGTACTTAATTGAAAAGATGATTGAAATAATTGTACTGTCTGTGTTGGTTTATTTTTCATTAGATGGCATGTGTAAACTTAGGATAATTAAGAAACAAATAGATGATTTTTTTTGCTAATGTATCAAATATATCAATCTTATAGATTTTTTTTTCTAGTTCCCCATTATTAGCTGCAATAGTGTCAGATGTGATCCATGCCCACGTATCTCTAGCTTTGAGAGTTTCTAGGGTTTATTTTTAATCTGAGTACAATGTAATTGTTTAGATACTAGTTATATGGGCAACATCTGAATTCTTACTTCATTTTAGCAACTAGACATATGTCATAGTGTGGAACATTCTTTGTATTCAAAATTTTTAAAAAAAATTGTTAAGCAAACGAGTTGAAAGCCTGTTGGCCCTTGCAGCTTGAGCACTGCTGTGTATAGAAAACTCTTCCAGTGGTTCCACTTTACCCACACCCAGTATCACAGTAAACACAGAGGCTTACAGGAGGAATGTTTGGTGACATTGACATCACTGCTTGTCAGGTTAAACATTCTAATACTAAAAGCTTTCCAGGATATGAGCCTGAAAGATTTTTACTTTTCTTACAGAATTAATGAAAAAAATGCAAAGGAAGAAGTGAAAACTGAGGAGCGTATGGAGAGGATCCGAGCTGTGCTGTCCCTGAAAAGCAGCCTGACTTCCAGCAGGGTACTGCTGGGGTGGCTTGGGTGGGGAATGGAGGATTAACCTGTTAGGCTGCAAGGTTTTAATGCAAGTTGTTTCAGTTTTCATTGTTGTGGTGCTGTCAGCTGACCAAATCCCTTGAAACTGGGGAGAATTCAGCTCTAGGAGTAATGGTGTTAGATTTGTATGGGCAGATTCTGACACTTCTACTAACAGAGTTTATTCTCTCAACAGTGTAGTTGTTCTGGTCACTCTACTGAAAATAATGCATACTACAGATAAGTGCCCTAAAAACCCAGCCAGGAGCATTTCCAGTACTTGGATCCCAATGCAGAAATACTTCCCGTGTAGAAAACATATGGAAGAAAAACAGCTACTTAAGAACTTAAGTCATGTAAATTAAGAACTTCGGAGCTATGCTACTTCATTCTCCCACCTGTGGAATCTAGGGAATGATCTTAATGTAACACTAATTTGTTTAGAACTCGTGCCTTTTCACATTGCTTCACTGGGTAGCATTTCAAGGGCAGGCCAGGAGGGTAAGGAAGGGCCCCTGACCTGGGCAGAGCTCTCTGCTCTCAGCACACCATGGCTGCTCTGTATATTGAAAACAAGAAGTTCTACTGCAGAGAAATCTACCACAAATCTATACTTGGTTAAGGGGACCAACGCTAGATTCTCTGTTTTATGTTCTTCAATATGTGAATCAAATATGTAACTGGTTTGTATGGCTTCATAGGAAAAACTCCAAGCTGCCCAGGTTCGGAAGAAAGCAATGGCCTTTGAGGCAAAGAAGCAGGAGATGAAAATGAGGGAAGCCATCCTAGCAGAAGGAGGCAATGTTACCAAGGAAATTTTTCTCCATAAACGACTGCTAGAGCTTGAAAAAGAGAAAGAGTAAGTGTTCATATCTGTATCAAACTCTCAGCTGCTTACTGATGCTCATGCAGGAATTTGTCAGAGCTCTTAATCAGATCAGAAAACAGAACATCTATGATGCTGTCTCAAGGCAGTGAACTCATTCTTACACTCTGTGATACTCCTATAGTCTGTTTTAAGCAGCTTGGAACTTCCAGCTTAGGTATATTTTTCAGAGAGTCAAAGTTAGGAGCCCACATTCCATAAGCAGTAGAAAGAAGATAAACTACTCCAGGAGAGGGATTCAGTGAACCTAAACGAGGTGCCCAAACTAACTGTTCTTCAGCATTTCCTGAACTCTGTCCCTGTGAAAATGGAACAGCTTTCTTAGGCTTTTAGAGATGGCCTCTGGAAGGTTGCACTGCATTCAAGTGCAAGCTGCTCTACTCCTTTGTGCTTTTTTTGGATTGAAATTCCTCCTCTGCCTTTGTAGCAAAGTTGATAGGAATGTGCCTGCATCTCATCTGATCCAGTGCAAAGCTTAATTGTTTTTAACCACTTATGAAGCTGAATTTGTGCTAAGACACCAAACAGGGTGACTGAGGTATGTTTCTGTACCCTGGCTCTGCTACAAGGGCAGTAACTTGTAGCAAATGATAGAGATTTAATATGTAAAGTTTCAGTAAGTCTTAAATTTTGATTAAATAAAGCTTCAATCTTTACAGCTGCATATCAGCACTTCTGCTGTCCCTAAATATGTCCTAAAAATTGTGTCAATGGAATAATCATATCAAGTTGGAGAGATGTGCTGGAAATACCCAACTCTAAGTTTAATCCTCTTCATGTTGATTGCTTTCTCCCTTTCACTGTTTCCCTTGCAGACCAAGAGAGATCACAGATTGTTGGTCTTACTGGTAGCTCTGTCACATTCCTTGGAACAGTTAGTTTCTAATTTCAGCTACATCCTGCTAATCTGCCAAAGAACTGCTTAGTTATTTCTCCTAGGGCTCTGTCTTTCACCTTTGCTCTCAAGGGATATTCTCAGTTTTCTCTGACTATATTTCAGCCTGAATATATATATTTCTGAATTGTCTGCAGAAGAAAATAACTCTTTAGTCATTAAAACCAGTATGTTGTTAATTTGTGTATCACCTATAAAAAGATTCATGAAGACAAGAACTGGAACAGGGGCTGGCTTTAGACTTGAGGCAGGTAGCACCTGAGTCACTGCTGTTCCCCATGGCTTTGTAACCACAATTGATTTCTTTGTCATTTTCCAAAAACACACTCTCAATACAACACCATTTATCTGCTGCCATGGGGCATCATGAGGGTAAATTCAGACACTGAAGTGCTCCAGTTGGCAGTAGTCTCTATTTAAATAAGAAGTGATACTTCCTTTGCTCCCATTTACAACCAGTAATTATTTATATGGATTGGTCTAAGAGGTGAAAGTCTGTATTAAAAGCCATCATTAGTGTGGGTAATATTTGTTGCAGAAAATTGTGTATTAAACTGCAGGTATTAAAATCTAAATTAACTAATCTGCTGTACTCTTGTCACACTACCCAGTGTGCCATGGAATCTGTAGTCATACAGAGCTTTGAATTCATATCTCTCAAGTTCAGTACTTATGTCCTTACCTTTAACTGTTCTTTCTCCCCTTATTAAATCCACTGCATTTCAGTTAGGCAGTTTTCTTTAAATAGCTAACTAGGTTAGGGGAATTATTTTAAAACTTTGTTTTCAGTAGCACCGACCAGTAAGATTTGTCAACTCAACTTCCAAAACAGTAACTGAGTATATTTAGTCTGCAAAAATGTATAAATAGCTTCTGAATCACCTGATGCCCTGACACAAATTACCACCATACCAAATTTAAAGACTTTTTGTTTAGCTTAAGTGCTCAAAAGAAATTGGACTGTAGTTAGTATTACTAGCAAGGAACTATGGCTGGGTTAATATTTCTTACAACATTGGATTGCAGAGCTTCTAGAAAACAGCAAAAATCCAGAAAAATTGAGATTGTATCTCGAATTTTGCAAGAAAAGGCTTCTATTCACAAGCAGAGAAGAAGTCAGTCCTGTTCTAAGGCAGTTAAGGGTGGTGGTAAACCTGAGGATTCCTTACTGTGGAGAAGGAAAGCGTGGCGGTATATTGAGGAGACCTGCAAACATTCAGCTGGAGCAGTATCACAGGTAAACTAAGGCCTGAGGATTAACTGTCTTTAGGTTTATTTTTTGGCAAAGGTTTGGAGCAGTGAACTCTTTTGCCTGTGAATAGCACAGGCTACAACCCCATAGCAGACAGTGCAGAGCACAAGGGGACTGATTTCTCCATTAGATCTCTTAATGACTGCTGCTCTCCCTTTTCTTGCTTGTTGGTGCTCTATGAGTGAAGACCTTGTCCTGTTTGGGGTGGGGCTTTTTGTTAAGAGCATTTGTGAAAAGAGATGAACTTTTAACTGTATCTTCAAAACTTAGGTTCCTTTGCAGAAGTTGTGGCGTGCTCCATCAGCTTGTTCCTCAGCTGGTGAGAGAACTGTTTCTGTAGGAGAGGTCACTGAAAAAATGCCCCATGATGGGCTCTGGGAGAGTGAAGATGAGAAAGAGAAGGATGAGACTCTGGCAGAACCAGAGTTCCCAGGGCTCTGGAGTCAGGAACGTGACTTGCTTAAGGTAAATGTTGTGATACCTCTCACTAGAAATAGAAAAGGAAAAAAAACCATGGATGAGATCCTTTTGTCATTGACTCATTGTGAAATTGGTCCTTACAAAATGTTGGCAGTATCTATAAAAATATCTTAATGGAATAGAGAAGTTCCATTTGCCTCTCTAGGAGTTGTAGATATCTGAAATAATGAGAGTGGCAAGTGCTGGTTTAGGAACCTTGCTTAAACAATAATTATCTATTCTGCAGCTAAAATACAGACCTTATTGCATAGATGCTGAGACTCAGGTGTGAGAATGTCATCAGCGTAATTGTGGTTTGACACTGTTCTTGTAGTGCTTCTTCTCCTAAAGAGAAAACAGTGCTTCAGTTTTAGTTCAGAGATAGGTGAAGGTGTTCATCACATCATGCTCACTTGAGTTTAAAAAAAACTGAACATGACTTTCTGTTGGCAACACAGATGGCTTATGTGGAAACAACCTTTTTTGTACTGTACCAGGCAAAGAAAAGCATGTCTTCTGGCAAAGTAATAGTCCCTAAAGAGGAGTAAATAATAGACTCTTACAGTGGAATTGTGTAGTTAAGATCTTAAATGTTATTCCAAAGTATACTTGTGTATGATGCTTTTTTTTTGAGAGAGAGGTGGAAGACCTTTAAGAGTAAACTTCATAATCAGTCAGAAATAATGTCAGCACATATTCATATATGTCCATGAGAGGCACACTGGTCCCTAACTGAGATGTTCCAGTGAAGTTAGCTGATTTATTTTCTTTTTCCTGGATATTTAAGTAGTTGAGGGGGAAAAACCTCTTGTAGTGCAGAAGCACTAATACTGCCATTACAAACACTGTGTCATAGTGTGGATGATGATAAGCTGCAGGACAGAGAGCTGAGAATACATTAAATTCTTCATGTAGAATGCTAGTTGGGAGGCTAAGTTTGGACTGGAGAGAAGCACACAAAGGCTGCTCAGACACTAAAAGATTCCATTGGAGGCTTTTCTACTTTGAGCTGTGGTTTGAGTCAGTGGTTTTTACTGATGTTCCTTATTAGATATCCAAAGAAGAAATGGATCCAAAGCAGATGGCTACAAGGATAGTGAAAAAAGACAGTTTTGAGAAAAAAATGAAGGCATTCCAAACTCGAATGTTTCACCAGCAAGTAGTGCCTGCTGATGAGTATAAGAGATCTGCTTTCTTCAGTAAGCCAAGCTGCATTCATTTCAAGGTTAGTGACCATCCTGCAGAGGATCTACAGCGGTGGTGGGTGTATTGACTGTACGTGTACACCGTACACGTTGATCAGAACTCTGTTGCACTGGGAAGAAAAAAATCTTGGTTTTGATAGGTCTTTAGTCAGACTGGACCCCTTGCTTGCCTTTCTCTGTGTTCAGAAGGTCTGTGTTGTCTTTGCCACAGACAGCTGGAGCTGTTAGCAGCTCTGTTAGACTGAGAACATGACATGTCTTTGACACTGGCTGCAGGAGCAGCTTGGCAGGCTGGCTGTGCACCAAGCCAGCCCCTGTTGCCCCAGCCCTGGAGCAGAGTGGGCTCTGTGGGCTGTGTTCTGAACAGGTTTGTCTGGGGCCAGGCATTGCTGCAGGGGTTTGGGTGGTGCTCTGCACAGAGCCCTGTGTGAGCACAGCTGGGCTGAGAGCAGCTGGTTTTCTCACTACGTGTGTAGATGCCACGTCTGTAATTCACTCTGATGTCTTTGCTGTTCCAAGGATTTTGATGTTGGTCAAATCTACAAAAAGAAGATAGTTTTGATAAATGCATCCTATGGCATAAATTACTGCAGACTAGTGGGAATCAGTGAATGGCTCAAGGACTTCATCAGTATTCAGTAAGTAACATTGTTTTACCTTTATGCCACAACAGGAGATGTAACCAAATTCTGCAAAGTAAACAGATTTCAGTAAATACATCTAAGTTATGATATTCCATTCCTGTGTGATGAGGAAAGGAACTGACTTGGAGCTGAGGAGTAGGAGGCTCACAGAGCCTGAGCTGCATGTCCCTGGCATGTCCTGCAGTGGTGACAGCAAGGGCCAGACCCTCCTCTGGAGAGCAACACCAACCTGTGGTAGCCACCAGCCCTCAGCAGGCAGAAAGCCTTCTTCAGAAATGTCAGAGCCTTTGAAAAAGGGGGAAAGAATCTTTGTTGGTACAAAGGAGTAAAAGAGGAGCCAAGCTTCTTTCTAGGCCACCACAGGGGCCTTTAAGCCTCAGCAAACCTCTTTAACAGCTGCCATTCTTTGTGGCATGATGGATGCTAATTTCCAGATTACTACTGAAGTTTATATGTGAAGAAGCTGATGAAATAAAGAAATGAATCTCAGAGACAAGAGCACTTAAATTGAAATCTGTAGTCATTCTGTCAGTCCACTCATCTCATCCTGATGACAGGTTATGTAATGAAGTACTCTGTCCAGTTGGGAGAGACTGCAAATTAATTGCAGTTTAACTATATTGGTGATTTTATTTGACTGATTATAAATAAACAAATGGAAGTATCCCCAGAAAGTTTCTTTTTAGCAATAACCCAGACACTAGCTTTCTCTGGAGATATTCCAAGCCTTTAAAAATATAAAATACTACTTTTTACAACTTATTTTTATCTAAAAGTGAAATCAAGAAAATATTATATGTACTTGGAATTCTGTGAAATACAAAAAACTTGGAGTCTAGCCTAAAAGTGGAAAAAATACAAAAGCTCTCTCTGTGTCTAAGTGCTATTGATAAACAGGAGATAGCAGGGCAAATTTCAGTTCTTGGCTGAATGGAATCTCCTGAGAGCTGTGAAGTCTAAACCCACCTGCTGTGGAAAAGGTTGGTAAAGATCTTTAAACATCAAAGTTCTCTAAATCATAAATATTTTATCAAGGTAACACCTGAAATAAAGGAGCTGTTCCTTGAAGTCTTTCCCAGGAGAAACTGCTAGTGGCCTCTTCTGAAGTTTAGGATACAGAGGCTTAGTTCCCTATTCACATTTTAAGCTCCTGAATTCTGAACAGTGTTTCCCTTTTCTGTCTGAAAATGTTTCATCTTGCTTGTGATAGAATCACAGGATCCCAGTGTGGTGGGTTTGGAAGGGACCTCTGGAGATCATCTCATACAAGCCCCTTGCCCAGTCAGGGTCACCTAGGGCAGGTTACACAGGGTGGTGTCCCGGCAGGTTTTGAAAG